CGACGCCCCGGCCACTCCGCACTGCACATACATCAGGCCCGCTGCCGACGCCTCGGCTACTCTGCAACTCACGCACATACATACTCATGCACATGCATCAGGTCCGCCGCCGACGCCTCGGCACGCACATGCATCAGGTCCGCCGCCGACGCCTCGGCAACTCTGCAGTAGAGATGTCCTCGGATATAACTTTTCGGTATACCGATACCATACTGATACCAACTCGGTACTTGCTAATTGATTCCTAATGTGTTCGGTATTTTGTTGGTATAATGCACCTTAGGTTGGTACTTGGTTTGGTATCGGTATTCCGATTTTCCGTAGTCGACGTCCTACTCTGCACCCCACATACATCAGGTCCGCCGCCGACGCCTCGGCACCCACACGCATCAGGTCCGCCGCCGACGCCTCGGCACCCACGCGCATCAGGTCCGCCGCCGACGCCTCGGCTACTCTGCTGTAGAGATGTCCTCGGATACAACTTTCGGTATACCGATACCATAGTGATACCAACTCGGTACTTGGTATTTGATTCCTAATGTGTTCGGTATTTTGTTGGTATAATGCACCCTAGGTTGGCACTTGGTTTGGTATCGGTATTCCGATTTTCCGTAGTCGACGTCCTACTCGGCACCGCACGTACATCAGGTCCGCCGCCGACGCCTCGGCACGCACATGCATCAGGTCCGCCGCCGACGCCTCGGCTACTCTGCAGTAGAGATGTCCTCGGATATAACTTTTCGGTATACCGATACCATACTGATACCAACTCGGTACTTGCTAATTGATTCCTAATGTGTTCGGTATTTTGTTGGTATTACGCACCCTAGGTTGGTACTTGGTTTGGTATCGGTATTCCGATTTTCCGTAGTCGACGTCCTACCCTGCACCGCACATACATCAGGTCCGCCGCCGACGCCTCGGCACCCACACGCATCAGGTCCGCCGCCGACGCCTCGGCTACTCCGCTGTAGAGATGTCCTCGGATACAACTTTCGGTATACCGATACCATACTGATACCAACTCGGTATTTGGTATTTGATTCCTAATGTGTTCGGTATTTTGTTGGTATAATGCACCCTAGGTTGGCACTTGGTTTGGTATCGGTATTCCGATTTTCCGTAGTCGACGTCCTACTCGGCACCGCACGTACATCAGGTCCGCCGCCGACGCCTCGGCACGCACATGCATCAGGTCCGCCGCCGACGCCTCGGCTACTCTGCAGTAGAGATGTCCTCGGATATAACTTTTCGGTATACCGATACCATACTGATACCAACTCGGTACTTGCTAATTGATTCCTAATGTGTTCGGTATTTTGTTGGTATTACGCACCCTAGGTTGGTACTTGGTTTGGTATCGGTATTCCGATTTTCCGTAGTCGACGTCCTACCCTGCACCGCACATACATCAGGTCCGCCGCCGACGCCTCGGCACCCACACGCATCAGGTCCGCCGCCGACGCCTCGGCTACTCCGCTGTAGAGATGTCCTCGGATACAACTTTCGGTATACCGATACCATACTGATACCAACTCGGTATTTGGTATTTGATTCCTAATGTGTTCGGTATTTTGTTGGTATAATGCACCCTAGGTTGGTACTTGGTTTGGTATCGGTATTCCGATTTTCCGTAGTCGACGTCCTACTCGGCACCGCACATACATCAGGTCCGCCGCCGACGCCTCGGCACGCACATGCATCAGGTCCGCCGCCGACGCCTCGGCTACTCTGCAGTAGAGATGTCCTCGGATGCAACTTTCCGGTATACCGATACCATACTGATACCAACTCGGTACTTGGTATTTGATTCCTAATGTGTTCGGTATTTTGATGGTATCATGAACCATGGGCTGGTACTTGGTTTGGTATCGGTATTCCGTTTTTCCGTAGTTGACATCAATACACTGCACTGCACATACATCAGGTCCGCCACCGACGCCTCGGCTACTCTGCAACTCATGCACATGCATCAGGTCCGCCGCCGACGCCTCGGCTCCTCTGCTACTCATGCACACACATCAGGCCCGCCGTCGTATAGCCTCAGCCACCCCGTAAAATCTGCACCGGCATGGGTCGAGAATATGGTATGGCAGGCATGGCACGCGCCACACCAACTTAAAAGATGGTATGGCAATGCCATACCAACTTTTCAGGGTAAAAGCTACGAAATTTAAGGATTTCAGTTTGATAAGAATAAAACACGATAGTATTGTTTCGAGCAACTGGCGCCATACCAACTTTGAAAACAATTATCCACCCATGTTCGCACGTACATGAGGTCCGCCGCCGAAGCCTCGGCTACTCTTGCAAATCACACACATGCATCAGGTCCGCCCCCGACGGCGTTTTTTTAGGGGCCGTCCTACCCTACAAACGAGCCGACGCGAGTGGTTTCGGCCGCTGACAGCCAACTGAGGCGAACGCTTGGTGATAGTGGCGCGGGCAACGGGGGCCTAACCGCTGCTCAGGGAGCGGAGAGGTAGGCTGACCGCTGCTCAGGGGGCGGAGAGACAGGCTGACCAGCTGCTCCGGTGTTTAACGGCAGTACCCGGCTGCAGAGTGGTTTGACGGGTGGCTGTGCTGCTCCTGCGGCGCTGTCCGTGGTCGGCCCGGACTCATGGCTGCTCATTATTTAACCAGTTTCAGTCTCTTTGTTCAACATTCAACACGACAGGGCAGCAGGGGGTTAACCCGAACTGAAAACAACAACACATTTCAGCTCAGAGCTTAGCCTGTCTGACCAACAACGGTGCAGCATCAAGCGAGGACAACACGCGGTGATTATTTATCCGTTTATCCAACCCTCAGTGAGCTGTTTCTCAGTCCTGTTGCGATTCGCCCGGCGGCGGCGGCGGCTCCTCGACCCTCTGGCCGTTAGCCGTTCAGAAGATGAATGTCCGACCCGGTGTAATGACCGCGTGCAGACCGGCAGGAAACGGACCGTCTCATCAGCGGGTCGGAGGAAGCCGCCCGCCCCGCCCGACGTCTCGGGCAGGCGGCTTTATCAGACGCCGTTTGACTCGCAGACCGGAGGAGGGATTGCACCGCTTAGTGAACGCCGCCGGACGGGCCCCGCGGTGACTGATCGCGCCGGTTCCTCTGCATACTGAGAGGAAGAAACGGTGCCGCCGCCTGCTCTGGCGCCTGAGTATCACCCCGTACGGCTAATGCCGGTGGGATTTCACTCCGCGTATGGTTGTGATACAGCTGGATCAAGGATGGCATGGTGTAGATCCTGGGTCAGTGCTCGTTTAACCCTCTAAGCGGTGCACGCACTCCATTGCCGGCTCTGGGTGGGTCGTTGCAGTTGGCTCATCCCACCAGCTTATGTTGTTGGCTCAATCACAGTTGGCTCGTCGCTCTGAGTCACTGACTGGTCCCGCGGAGCCGCCTCGCCGGATCCGGTTCTGTGCATGAATGGCCGCTGCCGGGGCGTCCCGTCCCGTCCCGTCCCGTCCCGTCACATCCAGCAGTCATGGTGCCGGACTCAGGCCACGCGTGCCGCCTCTGCAGCCGCGGTCTGTCGGCAGGGCACGTTTTGTCTCAGGTGCGCTGGCCGGCCGGGTCCAGCGGCCCGCTCCACTGAGCTCGGACCAGTCTGTTGCCAACGACCCGCAGCGCCGCGAGACCGGAGATCGGCCATGGCGGGACGTGAGCGGGCCACGGTACGGCAGCTCGTGAGCGGATGGAACCGAGATGAAGGAGCTCAGTGGGTCAGTGACTCGGGATGAACGAGTGGACACTATGGCACTGTGAGCAGCTGGGACTGGACCTTCAGAGGAAACGAAGGAGCATGAAATCGGAGAGATAAAAAACTTGTACTTCCATTGACAATAGCTCAATCTATAACTTTTCTTGAATCGGCGAGACAAGTCATATGCTATCGTACCGCCTTGCGGCGGACAAAAAAAAGAGACTCAGACAGCGAATTATCTTCTACCTGATTCACCCCGCCACCTTCCAAACACCGCGACCTAAATCCTCTCTCACGACCGCCTCGGCTCTCCGCATCGCCACCCTCTGTCAGCCACGCCCTCTCAGCACACCGCTGGAGAGACAGCACATCGTAACACGTCAGTCTGGGACACGGCCCAGCCCGGCGGGCGGCCGGCCGGCGCCGCTGGCAAAAACGGCGACACGGCCCGCCTTTAGCCGGCGCGTATCGGCCCAGTGTCATGTCACGGGTCGTCACTGTGGTCGGCCGTGCGTTCTATCCACCGCCGCCGCCCACTGCATCGCCGGTCGACTGCTGCGTGCCAAGGCACTATAGCTGCGTGCCACCTGACTTCCGTTCAGTTCGCCGTCTGCCGCTTGCCCGTCCACCGCCCACCGCTCTCTAATAGCCTTCCGCCAACTGTTCAAAGCTGTCCATCGCTATCTATCCGTCTACCGCCCGTCACCCCCTGTCCAGTGTTTACCATCCACTGTCCACGGCCCCCTGCCCGCCCACCACCTCTGTCCACCGTCCCCCGTCCACCGCACCCGTCCACCGTCCGCCGTCTGTCACTAGGTCGAGGTCTCTATCAAGGGATTACGAGCGGCGCCGTGCCCCCGGCGGCGGCAATGCATGACGTACGGCGTGTAGTGGCCGCTGTCTCCCGTCGTCGCCTGCTGCGAGCCGGCACGGCCTCCGGGGAGCCGGGAGGGAGGGGTATCCGGTGCAGTGGTGGGGCTGGTGGGGCATATCTGTTTTCAAGTTACTTATTCAGGCGAGATATCTGGACTGAACTGAGCTAGTATTTGGTTCTTAGAGCTCGGATGTGTTGTGCAGAAGATAAGCGTGTTTGTGCCTGGGGCAGAAGAGAATCTTGTTTGCGTTTAAACTACAAATGGAACATGCTTGTGTAAGCTGTTACAACAAATGCTGACCCGATACTTGTAGCCTTGACCATCGTGGACAATGAATGACCTTTGACGGTCCCAGATCAGCTGATCACAGACCCCCCCCCCCCATGACCCTGCACCATTGACTGACGCGTCTCTCCCCTGTGTTACAGGTGGCGGTGGCGGACTGGGGCGTCCCGCAGGCGCTGACCTCCACGGCCCGGGTCAAGGTCACTGTTCTGGATGAGAACGACTCACCGCCCGTGTTTCCCGAGCGGTTGTACCGGGTACAGGTGCCGCTGGGACCGGCGCTGCGCCGACCCAATGCCACCATTTTCCAGGTGAGTGTCAGTCTCCAGAGGGGCGGAGATACTGTGTCAGGAGAGCGGTATCCTGACTGGAGATTCATGGGAGAGCCTGGATACTGTGTGTCGGGAGAGACGTTTCCTGATCAAGGGAATCATAGGATTAGCCTGGAAGGCTGACGAAGACATGGTCACCTGGGAATCGATCGTATTGGTTTTGGGTAGCACCTTCGTCGGATGCGGGTCTGGAGCTAAGCCGGCCTAACGCTTCCATTTTTCGTTCGGGCTATTTGCGACACGAGCTGGTTTTATTCAGCCCGCAGCCAAGTTAATGACATCCGGTACTCGGCTAAGGCTGAATTACATTGCTGCATCGACCTGCGATGTGCTAAAAACAGCTATTTTCTAATTAAAAATCCAAACTGCTGTCCCAGCCTGTCAGGCTGCAATGATGACGATGTTTGAGCATTTTAGTTTACTTTGTCATTAGGTATGCTTTGGTATTCGATTGAAATTTGAATGTGCATTCCGCCCATCAATAAGCTGACGTGCTACTATCAGTGTGGGAGTTCTGTTGAATGTACACGTTCCTGTTTCGTATCAGCTGGTCACCAGACGTCAGCAGTATTTTATCTGACACCCCTCCAAACTCGATCGGTCCCGCGGCGGCGGCCAATGGCACCGCTCGGTAAATGTTTCCAAACCCAGTAACTCCAGCCCGGAGTTGGGCATGCCCCCGGCGCCTGCCATGTGTCGGCCGGCCGCGTCTGTTGACGGACTGTGGTGACGGGCGCTGTCACACGGGAGAACGCAGCTCTGAACCGCCCGGTGAAGTTGTCGGGACCGGCTGCTGCTGGGACGGACCGGTATCTGATCGGGGCTGGTCGGTGTGTCTGCTGCCAGCCGTCGGCGGCTGTCCGGGCGGTGGTTTACTCCGTCGTGCTCTGACGACCCGCTGAGGTTATCCGTCAGTGGCGTGGCGGACCGCGGGCCGGTTGAGACGGTGCCATGCCAGCCCGTGCCCCGCGCCGCCTCTGTTGTCAGCGGTATCAGATGTGTCGCGCGCCTCTCCGCCCACTCAGGCCCGCAGCGGCCGCTGCTGTTTCGTCAGCTATTGCTGAGCTTACGGACAGCAGAAGGCAAGGTGTCTCTCAAGTGACCTTGCGTGCCAAGTTCTTCAATCTGCTTCCTGGACAAGCCATCTTTCAATCAAGCATTAACGGGACGTTGAATCGTGATTAGCGGGCCGACGTGACACGACGCGACACCGAGCCAGTGGGGTCCAGGGAAGGGGGAGGGGGAGGGGGGGGGGGGCGATAACGAGAAGGGTGGAGAAGAACAAACAGAACCGCGGCGGCCCCGCCGTGGTCGGCCGATAACACGCGCAGTGTGAGCCGAGCCGCGGTGTACAAGGGGTGCGCGGAGTGTTTCTCGCGCGGCGCGCGCGACGAATGCGATATAAGTGCTCGGTTTGGTGTACGGAATAACAGGACAACATCAACGGAGCGACAGGAGACGGACGCATGATGGCAGGTGGGCGCAGCGATAGGCTGCGGGGGGGGGGAAGGATCTAGGTAGAACGGCCACGAGGAGACGGGATAGGGGGGGGGGACCGTTCGACGGGCGCTATAGAAGTGGGCGTGACGGAGAGGGGCGGGTACCTAGCTGACCACGACACCGTGCGCCTAGAGAGGCCAGCATCTGTGGTCCCCGTCGTGTCATGGCCACGGCCGACGGGTGTGACCTGATCCGTATATGCCGTGTGCACAGGAGGACCTGGTAACTGTGGTCCCCGTCGTGTCATGGCCACGGCCGACGGGTGTGACCTGATCCGTACATGCCGTGTGAACAGGATGACTTGGCAACTGTGGTCCCCGTCGTGTCATGGCCACGGCCGACGGGTGTGACCTGATCCGTACATGCCGTGTGAACAGGATGACCTGGCAACTGTGGTCCCCGTCGTGTCATGGCCACGGCCGACGGGTGCGACCTGATCCGTACATGCCGTGTGAACAGGATGACCTGGTAACTGTGGTCCCCGTCGTGTCATGGCCACGGCCGACGGGTGTGACCTGATCCGTATATGCCGTGTGCACAGGAGGACCTGGCAACTGTGGTCCCCGTCGTGTCATGGCCACGGCCGACGGGTGTGACCTGATCCGTATATGCCGTGTGAACAGGATGACCTGGCAACTGTGGTCCCCGTCGTGTCATGGCCACGGCCGACGGGTGTGACCTGATCCGTACATGCCGTGTGAACAGGATGACCTGGCAACTGTGGTCCCCGTCGTGTCATGGCCACGGCCGACGGGTGTGACCTGATCCGTACATGCCGTGTGAACAGGATGACCTGGCAACTGTGGTCCCCGTCGTGTCATGGCCACGGCCGACGGGTGTGACCTGATCCGTACATGCCGTGTGAACAGGATGACCTGGCAACTGTGGTCCCCGTCGTGTCATGGCCACGGCCGACGGGTGTGACCTGATCCGTATATGCCGTGTGCACAGGAGGACCGGGCAACTGTGGTCCCCGTCGTGTCATGGCCACGGCAGACGGGTGTGACCTGATCCGTACATGCCGTGTGCACAGGAGGACCTGGCACTCTGTGGTCCCCGTCGTGTCATGGCCACGGCCGACGGGTGTGACCTGATCCGTATATGCCGTGTGCACAGGATGACCTGGCAACTGTGGTCCCCGTCGTGTCATGGCCACGGCCGACGGGTGTGACCTGATCCGTACATGCCGTGTGAACAGGATGACCTGGCAACTGTGGTCCCCGTCGTGTCATGGCCACGGCCGACGGGTGTGACCTGATCCGTATATGCCGTGTGAACAGGATGACCTGGCAACTGTGGTCCCCGTCGTGTCATGGCCACGGCCGACGGGTGTGACCTGATCCGTACATGCCGTGTGAACAGGATGACCTGGCAACTGTGGTCCCCGTCGTGTCATGGCCACGGCCGACGGGTGTGACCTGATCTGTACATGCCGTGTGAACAGGATGACCTGGCCACTGTGGTCCCCGTCGTGCCATGGCCACGGCCGACGGGTGTGACCTGATCCGTATATGCCGTGTGCACAGGAGGACCTGGCAACTGTGGTCCCCGTCGTGTCATGGCCACGGCCGACGGGTGTGACCTGATCCGTACATGCCGTGTGAACAGGATGACCTGGCAACTGTGGTCCCCGTCGGGTCATGGCCACGGCCGACGGGTGTGACCTGATCCGTACATGCCGTGTGAACAGGATGACCTGGCAACTGTGGTCCCCGTCGTGTCATGGCCACGGCCGACGGGTGTGACCTGATCCGTATATGCCGTGTGCACAGGAGGACCTGGCACTCTGTGGTCCCCGTCGTGTCATGGCCACGGCCGACGGGTGTGACCTGATCCGTATATGCCGTGTGCACAGGAGGACCTGGCACTCTGTGGTCCCCGTCGGGCCATGGCCACGGCCGACGGGTGAGACCTGATCCGTACATGCCGTGTGAACAGGATGACCTGGCAACTGTGGTCCCCGTCGTGTCATGGCCACGGCCGACGGGTGAGACCTGATCAGTACATGCCGTGTGCACAGGAGGACCTGGCAACTGTGGTCCCCGTCGAGCCATATCTGGCCCGACGACGGGTATGACCTGACACGTGACGTAACTCGCGAGTTCTACCCGGCAGGTAATGGTGCGAACTGATCCAGAACAGGCGGGCACGTATAGGAGAGGGGCGGGTACCTAATGGCCTCCATCGGGGCGCGGCGGCATTGGGTGAGACGGCAATTTAGTGGTGTCAATCGTAGCTTGAATCTGTGGATTTCCGATTTTGTCCAATGTCCAATCCGGAATTCGGTTGGACAATGACGCAGGTTTGGACAACTTTGGACAATCATTGCTACACCTCAGCATTTCTATAAAGCAATCGTGGTTAACACTGATTGGCGAATAGAAAGATCAGCCTTTGAGATGATTAACACATTAAAGCTGCTAAAAATACATAAAAAAAGATAACAGTGTTAAGTGTAAACTATTGCGTAGGTTTCGGACATCTTTGGACAAATGGCTAGCTTAAACATTTTGGACGGAAATCGGCGTAAGCATTGGAATTGGACGGACATTGGACATACATTTTCTGCAACTAACACCACTAGACGGCATACGCCGAGGTGATAAAGACGAGGCGCCGTCAGCGAGGTGTTGTCGCGGCTGAGCAAATATTGGAGCTTACGACCGGTCGGGACGATAGCGGAGGGTGGGAGAGCAGAGAGGGAGAGTTTGAGGGCACGCAGCTGCGCGCTAAGACAAACAGGTCGGCCGTGCCGAGGCCCAGGGAGGGGAGATGGGACGTTGGGAGCGGTCTCCAGCGGCGGCTGGGTTCTGGGGAGGGGCCGGTCATAACGGAGGGTGGGGGTGGGGGGGGGGGGAGGGAGATACACTTGGCTGGACATGTGCATCGGGTAGATCGAAATAGTCAGTGTCACTCTGCGGTGCAGTGATGGATTCCAGACTGGGTGTGTGCGCAGAATAGACCGTCCCAGTCAGTGTCACGCAGCCGTGCAGAGATGCATTGTATGTCGGCTAGCCGGGTGCCCCGGGCGCCCCGATTTCGGCTGGCTTTGAGCGCTAGGCGGATTGATATGGTGAGTGTCACGCTGACGTGCCGCGGTGGTTCCCGGCTGGCTGTGTCGACTGCGGTCTTTCCACAGGGCACGTATCAGCAAGAAGGCTCATGTTAGACCGTTTCCAACGCTAAGTCGGAATGTAACTGCACAACTGCAGGTCGTCACTGTCCCGTCGCGGCGGCGGCCGCCGCTTGTGATACTGATGGGTCGGGCTTTCGAATGAGCCTGATCCGTACACCTATCATATCCCTCGTCCGTGTGCGGCGTTCTGTTGCGTCTAGCGTGTGGGGAAGGGGTCAGTTGGACCCCCCCCCCCTCCCCCTGCCGTCCGGCTCCTGATTGGGCTGGAATGCCCAGGTCATCAGACCAGTTCGGTCGCCAATGGGACGTCATTAAGCTCCGCCAAAGCGAGCCTCAAGGACGT